AATAGCCACAATTTACCAATACTGAATAAAACTTTGACAACATTTGAGGTAAAGGCTACTAAAACATATCTGACTGTCATTCAAGTTATTTACTTAGCCTTGTTGAATATTTTGCAAATTTCACAGCTTTATAATATCAATTTAAGAAAAAAAGATATCAGCCTCCAAAATAAAACTGTCGCTGAGGCAGTATTGTCAGGGTGGTTTTACCTTCTGGTAATGTATCTACTGCATTTGGTCATAAAAATGATTTACACATCAGTAGCTATTAAATGTTTGATGGAATATTGAAATTGTGCTGATTCACATCAGTCATAGAGCCATGCTTTGTGAAGTCACTAAATGGATTAGTTTAGGAAGACTAAAGTTCCCCAAGCAAGGTAAATTTAATTCCAAAAATGTGTCCTCTTAAAAAGAGGTTTCCACTGGAATATGTAATTGTAGGTCATTGACTAACCTAGTCAGGCACTATTTCGTCCTGTCAAGTAAACTCAGTGCTCAACTTACTGTAAACAAGGTAACAGCATTACACGAGAGCGAAACAAGGGTCGTCGAGTGATTCGTCGCCGAGTGCCAAATACAGCATTCTGCTGAAAGCCCTCCATTAAATTCAGGATATATCTGTTTTGCTGCATAACGAAGCAGATCTCACTCATGCCGCGGGATGAGGCTTCCTCAATACACTGAACAACTGCCTAGAAATAACAAAATTAATACTTCTTTTCAATAATGAGAAACACTGAAATAGAAACCATTTTCTACATCGAACACTAGTTTTTTTAAAAAGTAGTCAGATTTTATTGAGTCATGTACCAAACTTCTGACACTTTTTATATCACAATATAAGCTTTTTGAGTGAAGGCTTGTTGTCTCACCTGCTTTACTGTTTCTATAAGCCGAACAATTTGTTGGAGTTTTTAAATTTATTCAAAATATTTCATCATTAACAGATTGAATATTTTCATTAGCAAAGGTTGTTTAATATGCCCATACAGAGGAACATGTTAAATAAAGAAATACCATGACTTTTAATTGCCCTTTTGGTACAATTTAGTTTCACACAGGAACAAAATAGTGAAGTAGAGTTTGCTACAATCTAAACATTTTAATGTTATTTTAAATTATGTAACAATTACAATTTTCAGGAATTTGATCCACTAGACATAATCTGCTTTACAGTGATTGGCTAGTATGACTGCAATTCATATTACCTCAGAATACTCTCTCCAGCCAAAGTGTTCCCTGCAATAGTACTTCCAAACTGTGTGGAATTGAGAGCTGGAATTTGCCAAGGAAACAGTGGACAATCTCCTCACTTGGTTGAAGTCTACATCATAAACGGTCATCAAGTTAAAATCCAGTGAGAAAACACGACCCCTGAGAACACAATAAAACAAAAAAAGGTTACCATCCCTAGGAATATTTTGTGTACTAATTAACAGTTACAAACAGGATTAGAATCAAAATCTTTGCAAAACTTGTAGAACAGAATACTTTTCATGGCAGTGATCTTAAAGTTCATTAAAATCCAGCCTACAAAATGCAGATTTTTTTTCTAAAGGAAGTTCCATAAACAAGCTAATGTTGTATAAAAGTGTAAACATTAAAAGAACATGATTGATTTAGTATGATGCATTCGGCTACATGAAAAATTACATTGCAAGACAACAAATAAAATCTTGAGACGAAACTGCAGCATCCAGCTGCTTTATGCCAGAGACCTGCAGATACTGGCTTCCAGGCTTTGGATTCTTTGACAACTGTATGTACATAGTTGTAGAGTTAAGTCATACCTTTGATGTCCTGAATGCAATTCTAAATAGTTGCACATGTAAGTTGAAAGATGGGCAGCAGTTTGAACCAGGCAGCCATGTTTTTCTGTACTGGTAAGCTGCAACATGCAAAACCTATAACCATCTGCAGTACAAATGTTCAACAGATAAAATCTGCTAGCAATAGCCTGTGACCATACTGTATGAAATACAAGTTGCTAACTGCTGAATATATAAAATTTGCTTATTGTTTCTACCAAGTTTCAGAAAGATGAAACAGTAAATCCCAGAAAAAAAAATAGGTTGAGTAAAACTATTTTATGAAGGTTAAATGTAGATGAAGATCATTCTATGTTTTCACTATTCGTGCCATCAAGGAAACATATTAGGGGGTGAAATTCGGCATGGGAAATAGCTCAAAAAACCAGAAGTAAATATTCTCTGTTCAAAGATTGGAATGAGCAAATCTCCTCCTCCCCAGGTTTTCATTTGGGTTGGTGCGCTCCTACTGCTGATCACTTATCTACAAATGGAAAATTAATCACTTTCCACTGCTAATAGGTGAGCAACTTCAGTGTCCACATTCTATTGCATACAAGATGGACTGGTTCTTTTAATGGACGTCTGACCAACAAGCCAATTCAGCAGATTGGATCTGGTCCTCGGGAAGAAGAAAAAAAAAGGTTGAAATTGCGAACGTCTGGAAGAAGTCATTGATAACACACCAGTACTTCATGTAAACATCAACCAACCATTCTTGGTCATGAATGAAGAGGATGCTTGGAGGTCATCTTGAGGCAGGAAAGCATGCCAAGAAAACCACTTTTCATTAGAATTAAAAAATTATTAACAACTGCTCTTCTGTTCCCTGAGCACTGATTGTTGTAATACTGCATTTGCACGTAGCAGAATAACGATGTGTAATAGTACATGAAGTCAAAGTATTTCAAGGAGATTTAAGAGGTAGAGGTAATCAAAAGGGCTTGGCCACCATACTAAATGAATGAAGTGCTTCCATCCATGTCTGAACAGGCAGTGAATTCATTTTGCAATGATTGCCTGTAAAGATCTTATCTAACCATTAGGCAAGACACAGGTGCTGAACAGAAGATGCACAAAAACTGACTCTAGAAAACTAGAACTTGACTGATTTCAGAAAGCAATTTATCAATATAACCTGACAATTGGAGTTTGTGGTGGAAGGCTAAACATACTAGCATGGGTAAAGGATTGATTACCAAAACAGGAAACAGTGTGGGCATAAGTGGGTCATTTTCAGGTTGACAAGACTTAAATGAGTGAACTATGACAGGGATCAGTGCTGGGCTCTCAACTATTTACAATCTACATCAATGTAGAATGCATAGGTTGGGCAAATGGAGGATAATCGTATGGAGATGGAAAAGTATGAAACTGTCCACTTTGGCAGAAAGAATACAAAAGTATGAATAACTTAAAATCAAGAGATTGCAGCACTGAGGTGCACAGGAATCCAGGTATCCTGTGCACGAATCATAAAAGGTCAGTATGCAGGTACAGCAAGTAACTAGGAATTCAAGTTTTAAACATTGTTGTTTATTAGAAGCATGGAATATACAAGTAGAGATTTTTTGGAACATTTATACAGGGCATTGGTGAGATTACATTTGGAGTACTATGGAGAGTTTTGGTCTGTTTTATGCTAGAAGTCATTCAGAGAAAGTTCACTTAATTGATTCTTGGAAGAGAATTATCTTAGTAGGAAATCTTGGACAGATTGGGTCTGTATCGACTGGAGTTTAGAAGAATGAGAGGTGATCTTGAAACACAAGATCCTGAGGAGACTTGACAGGCTAGATGCTGAAAGGACGATTTTCTTTATGGGCGATACTAGAATAAGGGAATACTGTTTTAAACTAAGAGGGCTTTTTCATGTCAGATGGAGTGAGGAGACCTTCTTGCTCTCAGAGGGTTATGAGTCTGAGAAACTCTTCCCTCAGAACAGTGGGAACAGAATCATTGATTTTTTTTAAAAAAGGCAGAGGTAACAGATTCTCATTTAACAAGGGAATTAAAGGTTATCAGAAGTAGGCAGTTGTGAAGTTGAGGCCACAAATCAGATCAGCCACGATCTTATTGAATAGTAGAGTAGGCAAGGCGCCAAATCACATGTACATTTGTATTTCACATGATCCACTCCATTTATTTCACTTCAGCAAACCAATATGAATCAGAATGGCTTCAAAAGAAGTTTTTCTATTTCTGCTCCTAGGTTTAACACTAAAAGCCGTAATAGAGGTAAATTTTCATCTATTTTGATAATGTAGTAAATGGCAAAAAATGAGATTCAACTGTTTTCTGGTGGAAGATTTTGCAAACTCACTTCTCTACGATGTTGAGAGCTGGGTAAGAATCCTGGTGTAGCATTCCTACCAACATCCCAGCTGACACACGAATTCAGCACAGTTTAGGAATATTTTTATTGTGAAAAAACACATTAACAACTTACTCAATGCTGATGTATAATTCAAACAAAGAAAGTAAGGCACATTGAACTCCCAATGAAATTTGCTTTATCTGAAACATATAATTGCTTTTGATGATCATTGGCCAATAAAGGTGAGTTAGCACCAGAGCAAATGCTGTCTTTGAGAAATCTTGAAGAAAAATAGCTTGAAAATTGCAAAGATTGCAAGGTTGCTTTTACGGCTATTAGGATACAGTTCAGAATTCATGCCTGTTCCAGAAACTTCACCTAATCAAACACTCCCCAGTGGAGACAACACCCCTTTAACCACAGTTATAGAATTGGGTGAAGGTTCGCTTATGCATGTAAAGACTTGAAAGCCTGTAATATTTTTCATGCCACAGACATCCCCATCACCACAAGACTATTGACTTAAAAAATGATGTTGCATTTTTTCTTCAAGGCAAGTCATAGTTATTTCAATATAATTCTGTAAAGTGCTGCAATGTCCTTCAGTCATCACATTTACAGCCACTGCTTCAAGCTTGCCTGATTCTCAGAAACAGAAAAAACTGTAACAGTCTCACACGGGTAGCTTCTAAAATGATTTGTTACATTTGCAAAAAAAAAAATTGATCTCATTTCAACCCTGATGAACAGCTTCCAAGAAACCCTCTTTCAACTTGGATTTAACAAGTCTTGCATGAGTCAAGTCTTTTCAGCTTTATTGCAACAATATTGGGAGAAATGAGAATAAATCATCAACTGACAGATGTTTGAACGATGACTGAGAGCAGAACATGTTGACTTTTACTGAATTTTTCTCTTATCATTTATGGTTGAAACCTTTACACTGGGATATTCCTGACTTTGCAAATATAATGTCTATAAAAAGGGAATTAGGACAAACTTACCATTTTATCATGAAGAAACACTAATTTGTAAAAACTTGGATACCAGTACATCTAATCTTAATGAATCATAAAGAATTCTGACATATCCGATACAAGAAAAGCCCACAATGAACCCAGTTAGTGAAGACACTGCCCATAGTGGAAGTTAACAGAGAAATGAGGAATGTCAGACATCCATTCATGGTGTATTGCACTAGTTTCTCAAATAGGGCATCACTAGTACGGTCACTCTGTCTAAACTAAGAAGGGAGACAATTAACCTAGTTTCACACTATTAAGCATTATCCAGTGATCTTCAATAGATTGGTTGTACATAAAGACAGATGAAGGCAAAATTATTTGGACGTTTTTGCTTTGTAGCGCATGTTAAAAATACTCATTAAATGAATAAGTCCCAATGGGTGTGAGGTATTGTGTAATCAGTGTACAATTGCTGCAGTATGATTCAAAGGTCTTGTTGCTGGGAGAAAATTGGAGGAAAAAAGAAGTCAGAAGAGGACATGAGGAAATTAACACAATAAATGATGCCACAATTTAAAAAAACCTATGAATCTAATTTTGAATTAGATCATTTCAAAGTTTACATAGACCATGACAACTGTATAGTCAGCATTTTGTTGCTTCTTACTGAGGTGTCTCAAGGTTATTTCTGTTCCTATGAGAAACAATAGAAACTTTAATAAGTCTTGTGTTGTCAGCTGTTTCTAACCAAACAAATTCTATTCACAATCATTCAGCCATTGTGACATTGTCAACCTGATGACATTAGCACTGCATACGCCATTAGAAAGCAGCCAGGTCACTGAAGCAAAGACAGTTATAGATCATGCATATTTCAAAAATATTCTACAGCAAAATTCAAAAGTAGGCTTCACAGAAATATTTATAATGTGAGCTCATTTAAAAAACTGTAAAAATACTGGGATTGCATATAGAACAGTTGTTTTGCAATCACTCTTTCTGCTCAAGTTAATGGAACAGTTCCTTCTTAGAAGGACGTAAAACAGACACTATTATGGTAAAATCTCAGTTTGTTCTAAATATTTAGCAACAACATTCTCCCTGCTTCCTCACTTTCTGTGCAACTGCCATCGTTAAGATTACCTAAATTTATTGAAAACTTGAGCCTGGTCAGAGGGTTGGTTGCATGCTTTAGCCCCACACTTGGGAGAGAAATGACACTCTCATGTTAATTCTTCAGTGACAGTTCTGAATGGGTGTGGTACATTGACAGAATTACTGTTCCGTAGACACTAAACCATGGTTCTGTCTGTCTGTTCTGATGACTGTTAAAAAGTCCTTATGGCACTACAAGAACAAAAGGAGTTCTTCCAGTGTTATAGTCAACATTTTTCAGTCAAGCACTGACTGATCATTCATTTCAAGGTTCATTTGTGGAGCAAGTGGCTGCTATGTTGTCATTTGTGCTTTATACAAAATTTTAAACACTGCATTCAGCTTTTGTCCAGACAAAAGTGGTATAAAAACTATGTAAAAAAGTTCAGAGCAGGGCTTAAATAATGACTTCCAGCTTAAAGAATCTTACTCAGACAAGTTGTATTTGTTTAAAACATGCAATTTCAAGCTGATTTTAAAGAGATAGACAAAATAGTTATTCGGCCTTAATTCTCTTTCTGATGATACACTGGGATGACAAGATTCTTATGCATAAATTACACAAAAAGGTACAGCAAGGTTACATGTCAAATAGGTTATTTTATCAGAGAACAGTTGATCTATGGACAAGTTGTCAACTCAGGTGAATGCTGATTCTCTGCATACATTCAGAAAACAACAAGCTGAACCATTTCCTGGACAGGAGAGAGGCCACATCTTATAAATGATAGATTGAATACCATGTAATAAAGTGTAGTAAGTCTGCTCTCCTGAATACACAGTTTGCTCAAAGAGAGTGTAGGAGAGAAATATTCCATATAAATCGCCACCAAATCCCCCCCCACCCCCACCCCTTGAACCCCAACCCATTCACCTTCCAAAATGGCTGTGGGGTTTTAGCTCTTTTACTTTTCCCCTGTATGATTGCTGGTGGGTAGTGTGTTAGAGAGTGTCTAATCCTGATACAACTGCATGGGAAGGGCTTGTTCAATCAGATAATGATAAATATTTATATAGTGTCTTTAACGTAGCAAGAGTTCCCAGCCATATAACAATGTATATTACAACAGATGACAAACTGATCAAGGAGCATCTTTAGGAGGAAATAGACAGAAAGAAAAATGCAGTGATTGAGGGAGAGAATTCAAGAGTTTGCAGCCTTAGTAACTGAACGTGTACTGCCAGTAGTACAGCAATCATGTCAGGAATGCTTGAGAGGTCAGAGTTAAGCAGAGGTAGATTGGAGGGTTGGGGTGCTGAAGATAATTAGGGACTTAACAGGCAGAGCAATCAAGGAATTTAAAATTAATAGTCGAAATTTAAAGCCGAGGTGTTATTTAACTGGGAACTATTCTATGTCACTGAGCATAGACTTGAGTGAGCATGAGTGAGCGAAATTCAATGCAAGCTGGAAAGACAACACCTCATTTTCCGCTTGGGGACCCTGCAGCCTTCCGGACTCAATATTAAGTTCAATAATTTTAGGGCCTAAACTCTCCCATGTCCCAGCCACCTACCCCACACACCAGGCCTTGTTACCACATAGCCTGCCACTACACACCCACTGTTGTTAGTCACTAATAGTCCCCATTAACAACTATTCACCCTCCCAGCCTAATCGTTATCAACTCCTTTGTCTGTCCAACTGTCTCTCTATTTAGGCTCTATCCTATCATTTACTCCCTACCCCATTCCCCTCCCCTTTTTTCTGCATATAGACTGATGTTTTCCCAGCCACTGTCAGTTCTGAGGAAGGGTCACCACACCCGAAATGTTAACTTTTTTTCCTTCACAGATGCTGCCAGACCTCCTGAGCTTTTCCAGCAACTTTGTTTTTGTTCTTGAGTAAGCATGGCTTGGTATGAATTAGAAGAGAGGTAATAGATTTTGGATGAGCTCAAGACTATTGGATTGAAAGAGAATTCAGGCAAAATTGGTCTTTCCCTTGTATTATCTTTTTCTATTTCTAAGAAATTAATTATATTAAGCACAGAATTTTTGCTATGAAAGGATCTATGTAAAGACAGATGTTGCTTATGATGGGTCAATTTGGTGTACCAATAGCATAACCAATGCTTAGTTATTTTTTTCAACAGTACAGCTTATTGCAAAGTGTTTGATCCTTCCTTCATATTTGTCAAGTTTAGTACAGTATAATGTAGAAAATATAGTAAAGTTTCCAAAATTCAGGAATTCACATCTACCTAGGCTTGTATTTGATCTTTTGAAATGGCTCAGAGCCATTCCCAGATGCCCTATTGAGGCCTTACACAGAAAGATAACATTCAGAATTCTAATTTGTTAGATACGAGCAATTGATGGGTTTAGTGATTCATACCGCAATTTCAAGCTCAGTTGTCCTCAGCATTTATTTTGCTTCTGCCTACACCACTGATCCACATGGCGACTGTGAAAGTGCTTTCCATTAAAAAAGATGTTTTTCTTTTTAACATACAAAACTGACAAAAGAAACAAAAAAACTTAGCAAAACTACATACATATATCAGTACAGATAATATCCTTAGAAGTGGACCATTCTGATTCAATTCTGTACATTTTCAAAAAGACAAGCAAGTTGTAATACAAGGATCTGCCAAGAGATTCCTCATTCACTATATCCTATTAGCCAAATATAAGCTGCATATGGTTACAATAAGGGTTAAGATATTTGTACTACTTCAGGCTCAAGAACATTGGTGAAATGTTTTGTATAACTTCCATGTCAAGGTCATTTCATTTTGCAGTGAACACACAATCTAAAAAAGCAATGTTCTGGTCCAGGTATTTATTCGAAATACCTGTCAGTCATTAACATACCGCTGTTCGGAAAAGGCTCAAAAATAAAAACACTCCATTGTGTGCACAATATGCAACTAATATTAGCAGCATTTAGAAGTGACTGCACTAGTATCTTAAACTGGTCACCAGCAACTAACAATGCATCACACTATGGGATGGAAAGGAGTTGGATTTTGTCTCCTACAAATCCCACCTGTAAAAAAGGAGATTTCAGGCAAGATTTTACCTCACCCATCAAAAATGTTGCCTTTTCAACAGTAAAACAAGCTATTTGTGTTCTTAGGAACTAATTTATCCAAAATTGTGTTCCGGTAATGTCTTGTCATTGAACCTAGTTTACTACTGTACTGATTCAAATACACTATCTCTAGTGCTGAATCACAACAGGTCCAGTCCACCTAATGTATAAAAATTACAATGCAAGCAGATGTGTGGCAATATCTATTTAAAAATTAAAGCAAATTGATAATTTGTTAACAAGGAAGTCTGAAGAATTCTAAAAAATGCAACTCAAGTCACTCAAAATACTAATCCTGGAGTTCATATTACACACAGATCAAAAATATAAATAATAAATATTTCTCCTGCAAAAAACTGCAATGCATCTATTGTGCCATCAGGATATGCAAGAATTTCAATGATTGAAAACTACTTTTATTTTCGGTTTTCATTACAATGCACAGTTATAATTGAAAACCATCCAACTATCCATGGCATTTTTAAGTATCAATATTAATCACAAAACAGTCACTCAAGATATTCCAACTAAATTAGATCAATCAATCTAAGAAGGCTTAAGTTTCATACCTCGCACCATGCTAAACAATTAGCATGGCCTGTAGATTACAGTATTGTTACATATATATTTACCACAAAGTGGCAGAAAGTAAATGTGCCCCCAGTAACTACACATGATTTATTACAAACTCAGCCCTCTGGAGCTGCTTCATGGAATTGCAGAAGGAGAGTAGGGTAAGAGATGTTGAATTATCCCAGTTGCTCTTTATGGATTTGAGTAGCCAGAATAAGAGCAATTTTGACAGACACCTAGGAGCAAGTCAGGTGTGTCCCTCCCAGTGATCAATTATGTGTGATACAAAGAAAGACAAAAACCAAGAGAATTGTGGATGCTACAAAAACAAAAACAGAAATTGCTGGAAAAGCTCAGCAGGTCTGACAGCATCTGTGAAGAAAAATCAGACTTAACACTTTGGGTCCAGATCTGAGGAAGGATCATCAGACCTGAAATGTTAACTGATTTCTCTTCAGAGGTGCTGCCAGGCCTGCTGAGCTTTTCAAGCATTTTCCGAAATCAAACAAAAACTCCACTTTAGCCTTCTCCTAATGGCAGTGAAGAAAAATTCCAGAGAATTATTCTCTAATGCTCAGAAGGGTCATTACAAGCCATCCAGTTACTAACAAGATACGATATATAAACAAGGTTCAAAGTAGAATGGTATGTGCTGGTATAGTACTGACAGCTGTACAAGACAGCACATTACATTCTAGAATTTTAAATCTGGAATGCATCACTCTATGCTTGCATACCATCACTTTTAAGCCATTTCTGTACAAGAATGATATGTTGATTTTATTTTTATGCAATTGCTGAAGGTCAGAACTATCAAAGTCAGTCAGGTAATCTACAAATACTTGTTTGAGTTATGCAGACATGTCTGATCAGTTGACTGCTGCTGGGTTGTACTCAACCTTTCTGCAAGGGAGGTGCTGAACAGGCAATTTCCTGTGTTCAAACAAATTTTCATTAAAGCTAGGTTACCCACAAATGATTAACAGCACTAACCAATAGTGTGGTAACCATGCAAGCAATGTGCAGCACTAACTTGTAAACAAGTATTTTGGAAAGGCGCAGCATGCTGTTATCTGCATCTTGTTACTAGGGAAACACAACATCACAACAAAACTGGGCTTCTCTTCACGCTGAAATTCAACAAACATTCAAGCCAGCTCCTTTGTGGGTGCCTCACCTTTATCAAAAAATCTTTTTAAAAATAATTGTATTTACTCAGACAGGTTTCCATGTATTTTTAAAAATAAAATCACAAGGAAATGATCAAATTCAAATGAAGGCACTTTTTTATTGCTGAATTCAAAACAGGCAACGAAAAGCAGCACGATTTTTAAGTGTTAAAAGAACTTTAAAACAAGATAAGCAATAAAGTTACCCTGCTTCTGTTACTTACTGGTATTGAAGTTTGACTTGGACATTTTCAGGATTGCAGTACAGTCTTTCTAAATGTTCTTGTGCATCATCAGACACTGCCTGCCAAGTCTGTGTTATTATATTTCTCAGCTGCCAATGATAGGGTAGAACTGTGTGATGTTTCAGACAGTCATTCCCATAAACACAAATTCCCTGCAAAAATTCGTCACATATTTCTATTCCATCTTCCTGATGGGTGTGATACTGTAACTGAGTCAAAAGATCAAAGACAAGGTCAATGGATGCCTCCTCGCTCTTATCCTGAAAAATGCCAGTCTTTGCATCTTTCTCAACTTTCACCTGGGGCAGCAGATCATGAGAGAGGGGGTTCTGACAGAAGTTGTCGACAGGAGGCTGGGCTGTGTTGTTACAGCACTCTGTGGTGATAGCATCTTGAGTGGAATAGCAAGTTGCGTTCTGGAATAGCGAGTGTGCAGCCGTGGAGATAATGGCTGATGCTTCTGTGGCAAAGGATCGATCAGCTGGGAGCCGAGTTTCCTGGCCATCGTGTTCCAGCGCCGGCAGCGGTCGCATCTGGCCAGGACTTCCCGCAGATGGCATTAGTGTGGAAACATCATTTCCTGACATCGGGCACGGTCGAGTTTCCTTCGAGTCTTTTTTCAAAGATTCAAACAAACCGGTCCGATTTTCTACACAGCTGCCGCAAAGTAACACCCCGTCGCCTAGTTTGTCCGACCGTAACAAGCTGGTGAGGATTAATCCGAGCGCTCGGTGATTCCTCACCTCCAACTTCCTCTGCGCGTGTTTCTTCTTGGGGAAAGTATTGAGGAGCGGCAGCACTTTGCAGGAGAGAGTCAGCTCGGAGGGGCAGGTACCCGCTGCAGATCTGGAGCACTCCAGCTCAGTGAGAGGCTGCCTGGCGCCGGCTGCCCGTAGCCCACACACATGTAAACTCTTCTCCATACTGCGGTCACTGTGCACGATCCGGACTCACTGACCTGCTGACAGAAAGTCAGTCATTCAACAAGTTCGGCTACCCACCCCCTTCTCTGCCCTCTTCTCTCGGTTAAATGGTGTTCAGTTCAACTAGAGATTGGAATCTCAACTCCTCCCCAGGACCTGTTTTCCCCCACCCCCATCCCCTCAGGCACGTAGGGCGAGCTCCCAACAATGCTCAGGATAATTAATCCCAAACCTCGGACGTGCAGAGTGGATGCTCCCAGGAGCAACTACGTGAAGGCGGGCGGGGAATTGCTGAAGGAGTTCGGGGCGGTTCAGGAATTGGGCGGTTACTCACACAGTCCAGTTCAGCAGTTTCGCAGCAAATCGCCTTGAACTTCCCTGCACCAAGAGCTTCAGCAAAACAAAACTGAACAGACCCAGCAACTAATGACCCGCTGCTGAAAGTAAGACTCGGTCGAGTGCTGATTTAAAAACTCTCTATATATACACGGGGCGCTGACTCTAAACCGTGTACACCGACAGGAATCCCAATCTGATTTCAGAAATCAGAAATATAAAGTGTTTAGCACCAAAGGCTGCAATGCAGGATGACAGACTTAAAATCCTGTCAATATCCACCCGTCACTAAAACCCAGCAAAAATCCTCCAGCACTGGGTGGAGGGAGGGAAGTGTTGGGGGGGAAGGGGGGGGGGAAGTTTGCTAACTTCAGAACTAAGGATTTTCCCTCAAAGTTCACCTGAGCAATTTGATGGAAGTGTCCGAGTTGAGTCCTACCTTGGCCCCGATCAGTTGAGCGTCACGCTGGGGGAGCGGAGCCGTTCGCTTCGGCCTTGGCAATGGAGTGAGGACCGCCGCTCTCATCAGGCACTGTGATCAAACGGGGACTGAGTTAGGACCTAGTTTAAGCCGAACCGGGAAGCGCAACATTCACCTCCCGTCACCGAGCTGCCGACCTTTAAGTAGCGACAGGGAGGTTTCGTCACTCGGAGGCTGGGCGGAGTCTCTCAGAGCCTGGCAAAGCCAAGCCGTGCGGAGGACTTTCATCTCTCGCTCTTTAGTTAGCCGGAAATAGCACAAGCTGCTGCTTATTTATTATGCCTCTCGTTGTGGCTGCGAATGTAAAACTGAACTATAAATAAAACGCGCCTTTTCTTTACACAACTGTTTTGTTTTTAAAGAGTTTGATAATGTTACCACTTGTTCTCCGAGGAATGGCCCGGTCTACAACAGACTAAAAGAAGCTGAGCTTGCTTTGCACAAATTCAACTCCACCACAGTTCTCCGCTCGGTCCTGCAAAATGTGGCAACACCGTATATTGCCCCCACCGCCCCCCCACCCCACACACACACACACACACACACAGAGACACACAGAGATCGAACTGCGCAAGCTAACCTATTCTTCGCCGTGAAATAAAAAGTTATTCCTTGTGGCACTTACTCGTGAAATATGAACGTTGTGGTCGATTTTAGGAGCATGAGTTTTTATTGTTATATGTTCGTCAAGACCGCCACGCTGAGAGGGAGTATGAGGTCAGTAGAATGTAGTGTGGCAATCGCAATCTCTTGAAATTGACATCTTCCAGGAAAACGCGACAGAAAAAAACTATTTCGCATTTATATTCCGCTGTAAAACGCTGTAATTAAAGTTAAGATAGTTTAGCGTGATTCAGGCCATGCAATTTTAGACGTAGCGACCAGAGTCAGGACTTGTTCTCTGTACATAAAGCTGTACTTGAGTAAAGGGAACATGGTTAATGGTTAAGAGGACTGTTAGGCACAACGTGAAAATATAGGTCAGTAAATGCGGGCAGATAGAAATCAGGGGAAATTTAATGCAATCAATTATAACGTGATATATTTTTGAAGGGGTAAATAGTGCAAGGTTGAAAGGGTAAATAGTGCAAGGTTACAGATGATAAACTTAGGATCCACATCTTATAAATGGGAGACATTTTAGCAAAGCTGTAAAAACATAAGCACATGTAAGCCTAATTTTTATAAAAACAAGTTTATAAAAGAGGGCAAAGAGTGCAATCGAGACATTAAAATAATTCCAACAATGAGAAGAAAATATTAGAAATGATGAACCCCCTGATTGAATATAAATGGTTAAGTGATCTAATAGAGATGTTCAAATTGTAAGGGGACTGATAATGCAACATAGAATAATAATTTCAACTAATCAGTGAGTGAATAAATAGAATGGATATAAGAAAGATCATCAAGAACAATATAGAGAGCTCTTTGGGATGGGCAGATATCTCTTTCAGAGTGTTGGCACAGGTACAATTATTCAAATAGGCATTTCTATGCCAGAAGAAAGTGTGATTCTGTCATCCCAAGATCAGTGAGCTAACCTAATGTTTTAATACCTCATGCCAATCTAATCAATTCAGTGGTCTTCACAAAATTATGGCCAAGACATTAGTTCTACATCCAACGTTGGTGGCAGTTCACCAAAGTGCTACCTTTATGCGTCAACATCCTGAGGCCCAATCAAAATTCAATGTTGATCCTCATTTGCATTCACAGTTGAATTAGGATCATAGAATCCTTACAGTGTTTAAGGAGGCCATTCAGCCCATCAAGTCTAGACTGGCCCTACAAAGAGCATCCCACCCTGACTGTATCCTGCAACCCCGCATTTCCCATGGCTAATCCACCTAGCCTGAGCACTACAGACAATTTCAGCATTGCCAATCCACCTAACCTGTACATCTTTGGATTGTGGGAGAAAACTGGAGCATCCAGAGGAAACCAACACAGACACGGGGAGAATGTGCAAAGTCCACACAAACAGTCACCCGAGAGTGGAATCGAACCCAGGTTCCAGGAGCTCTGAGGCAGCGATGATAACCACTGAATCACTGCGCAACAGTGGAATGCAACAGTATTTTTTGGAGCCAGGAGGATAAGCTTTGCTATTCCTAGTTCTATAGGGATGTAACTTGCAAAATGTCTTCTGGCCTCTTTTGAGTGCCTTTCAGAGGACCATTTAAGGTCCACTGTTAGTTGGCTTGAACCCAGAATAACTGGCTGAAGCATGCACAGTTGAATCTCTGCCCATTTGTGCACATATTTCAATCAAGATTATTTAATTGGCATTAGGATCTTGCATCATAAGTGTAAGTTTCCTAACGGTTGCTTCAGCTGGGTGCTCAATTTGGCAGTTGGTGCATATCTAGAGACCTCAGCTGCAAGAGATTGCACTTTGAAATCTGTCTCCCATCCTTCCTTTACAACCAGAAAAGTGACAAAACAACATTGAATTTCTCCCCTTTAAATATTAGTGCTAAGGCACTGGACTCATTCATAGAGCTGGAGCTTTGGCTCCATGTGTAATTTACACGGTCAAATTAACGTGGCATTTTGAGTGATCCAGTATAAATATGTAAATATAATCAAAACAGATTTTAACTCAGAGTAAAATTCCTTAGCTCAACCTAGAAATTTGTTTCATGCTGCCAAGAATCTGCAGCCTGAATATAAGGAGCTGTTCAAATTCAATTTGACATTTTTTTAAAACCAGAATTTCTTGACATTTCCAATGGGCATGGGTGTTGTTAATTGTTTCATTCCAACCTTTATATGCAGAACAAATAATATGCTTCCCATTTCTTTAAAAATGATCCAGCCTGAATTCATGTTCTCTCTATGTCACTTTGAGCTAGAAATGTTATTGATTTGAAATGGGGCAGTTGATAAAAACAAGGACACATTTATTCTGAAGTTAGTTTTCTGCTGTGTTTGATGCCAGCCTCTGGCAAGAGGCAATGTTCTGAAGAGAAAGCTTCATGACAAGTCAATGTACTTTCTGAAAAACTGGTTCAACAGATGTGAGAAAACAAAATACATCAGGTATTATGTGTGCACCAGTTACTGGGTGTGGTTTATCTTTTTCCTTATGTGAATGTGACATGCAAACAGGTTACTCAGCTGTAAAAAACAACTCAATAGCTCGCTTTGTAGACACAAATCTCACATTTTCTGCTTTTTCACTTTACAGTAATGATGAGATCCTGTTAGTTTTCTATCAGAATAAGATGAAATCAATGGAAGTTTTAAATACTTTAGTGATCCATTTCATGGGAAAAAGGTCCAGTTTTCCAATGTGGAAAGTTCAGCAGACCTAACCATTTTTTAGTTCAAGGAAACATATCAAACTTTTCAAAAAACTTCTTGGTAAGGGATGATGTTATGATATTGTTTTGTAAAGTGCTTCATGATATTTACACAAAGAGGAGGATACAGTGATGAAGGCAGAAATATGATGACACTATTACAACACAAATTCCAGATAGCATTGTACATGCGTTTTTAATAAAACTATGACAAAAATGCAAAATACATGTTCTATGAAAATTTCCCTTGACTGAACTGATTGCTCAACATAGTGAAGATACAAGATATTATAAATTTCTAGGATTCCTAGATTTATTTAATCATAAAGGCTGACACAGCTTATTTTGACCACTGTACCAAACTCCCAGTTCTCCCAATTCCATAACTTCTACCCAAATCAGTTCTCCCAATGTTCTTGCTGACAGGACTAGCAAAATATGTCTGTACTTCCATACACTTCATCAGAGTCCTTTCATCTCTTTCAATTGGACATCTTATTGGGCCTTTCTTCATCATTGTCAGCTTTATAATATTGTTCATTTCACTTCCGGAATTCTCCCATAGATATCTTCATTCTGCATTTGCCATCTCCAGGCTTGATTATTCCAACATCCTCTCACCCAACCTTTCTTTTTCCAACCTCTATAACCATGAAATTATCCAAAATTCCACTGGCTGTTTTCTATCCTCCACCAATCCTACTCACACATGACTCCAGTCCTTGAAAGCCCTAACTATCTCCCATTGCTGACCAATTTCCCTAAATCTTGTCTCTGAAATCTGTGAGGCCCTTAATTTGCCTGTATTCTCTCCCACCATATCTCATCATCGTTTCCATTTTTCTGAATTTCTCCCTTTCTGGCCCCAAACCTTTCTACTGTTACTTTCTACCCACAGAATGAAAACTATTCTTCTCTCACTCACCAGTAATTTCCGTGTTTCATTTTAACTTCATCCGTGGGGTTTACTATCCTCAATGGCAAGATTACATCCATTAATCCATCTCTCACGTAAACTCATGATCTACAGACACACCCAGAATGTACTGTGCAACTCTCATCTCAACTTTTTCTTGCATGCTGAATTTATATTGAGGTTTGCTTTCTTTTACTTTTACACTTTTAAACACTTGTCTAAGATCATAAATTCTGATCTTTTTAACTCCTGCTTAATGACTCGTACTTTCTCTTAATATGAAATACTTTGAGTCATTTTCCTGCATGTGAGGATTATCACACAAATGCAAGGTATTTTTAATTGTGGGGTAGATTGCACTTATCAGTGCTAATAGTAATGCAACGACAAGATTATAATTACAGATTTAAAGTGCTTTCTCATGCTGAATCTCTTTGTTGTCCAAAAGTCACTTCCTTCAATTTATCTTTTCATAGATCTGTGGATAATCTTACAGTCCAGTAATGTGAAAGCACTCTACCAACCTGCATGGTGGGCTGAGATTTAAGTTATCCACACTACAAGCAAACATTTGTGCATTTGGTGTGTGAAACAGCAATCCCAGGGTAATGCCTCCAGAGGCCATACTGAACCAATTGTTAGGGCAGTCTTCTGTGAATGCATCTTGTTCATAATACAAGAGATTCCACACATAGTGACTGAGACACTGTCATAGAATACATGGGATATCGCATTTGCATGATGAGAAGGATGAAGAAATCAAAAAAGTAATAACTGCATTTGCAAATAGTTACAATGAGAAGGATGATGATTTAGATCTCTGAAATGACCTGATGTATTTCTTTAACAGAACATTATGTAATTCTTAACAGATTTTCTCGAGACTGCAGGAGAAGAACCACACTTC